CCCAAATCTTGCATGGTGTCTTTTGACAAAGGAAATACTGTCTCTATTTTGCTCTCATTGTCAAAACAAACTTTTAATTTCGTTTTTTCTCCAGACAATACTATCCTCTTTTACATATTTACCACTTCAAATTACTTTTAATAAGATGAATGTTTATATGCTGATTTTTTTTTCTTGTTTAATCTTGCTAATCAAACCACAGTATATTCTGAAGAGCTTTTCTCTTTCCTGCCTTCCCTTCCCAGGATCACTAATTTCTGAGAACTTCTTAGAAACAGTTGAAAGCACATGTCCTGTAGGTGTCATTTTTTTATTTGCATTGTTTAAAAAACTCAAAAATAGTTGGAAAAGAGAGACCAGTTGTAATTAAGCCATAGCTGATAAGCCACTGCTTTCCCACATCTTCTCTACCCCATCAGATGGGTATCTTGGATAGGACTTTTTCAACAGCAGTTAAACAGTCACAAGGCCCTCACAGCAAAGCTCTTCTGTTCCCTTTCCATAAGGGGATGGGAAAGGCTGTGTTCCAGAGAAGACATGTAAAACACTGTAGCAACAGGAGCTGGGATCAATGGAAACATCACACTGAGTAAACCAGGGCTTCCATCTTTCAGTTGTGACAGCAGCCAGTTTTACCCCAACCATCTGTATTTTTTGTAAAAGAAAATATTTGCTTAATCTGTAATTGCAGTCAATTTGTCCTGGCTTTACTGGCTCTTTTAGACACTACTTTCAGGGACAAAGACTTGGAATCTCTTAGCTTTCACAGTGAAGTACTTTATTTTCAACATTTGTTCTCTGCTTTTCTATAACATACTAAAGATAGCTTGAAACAAATTATTACAATTATACGCAGTAATAAAAAGTGAATGTCAATAAAATCAATAGTAATCTTGAACATGAATGAAATGGAAGTACTAGCATTAAACAACATAAAATGCTAATCTATAAAAACTGGCTGAAAATGAACATTTTTGACTGCCCACTTAAAAGTGTACAATAAAGGGCTTTGCTGTGAGGCCCTTGTGACTGTTTAACTGCTGTTGAAAAAGTCCTATCCAAGGTACCCATCTGATGGGGTAGAGAAGATGTGGGAAACCAGTGGCTTATCAGCTATGGCTTAATTACAGCTGGTCTCTCTTTTCCAACTATTTTTGAGTTTTTTTAAACAATGCAAATAAAAACAAGAACAAAATATGTAAATTTCATTTTGAACTATTAAGGAATAAACTATATACTGTAATAAATTGAACAATAAAATCTAAAAATGCAATAGAAAAAATAAAGTATACTAAAATTGTTTTTAAAATTTAATTCAAAATTTCACTACTGTTTTACAGTGTGAAAATAATAATACAATATTTATACATATTCATTTATTCCATTTATAAAGCACCCCACTTGCTGAAGCAACTCTGGGTGGCTGTCATAATATTCAAAACAGTAATCAACAATAACAAACGAAAACAAACATATATTCTGGCCATCACAGACATCATACCATCTCCTGAAATGGGCACATCTAATATCCATCCCAGATGCCCAGGATATTTTGTTACAATTCAATTTTTAAACAACAAATTAAAGCTAATTGTCTGATCTTGCCTTGTCAATAGCCATTCAAAGCCATTCAAAGACTGAAAGCTGACAAATTTTGTTCATCTAGCCTTTAGAGTCTATATTCATCCTTCTGGGAACACATAATCTGCTTTGTTGCAACAGTCCAGACATGATATATCTAAGGCTCTTTATAAATAGATAAATTCCAATTTTTTGGAATATATTTGAACCACACATTAACATCTTCCTAATTTCCTTCAATGAACCTAGTTCGCTACTGTAATTATATCTGATCAATATGGAACTACCAGTGGAGATATCCAAAGCATATCCACTAAAGTTCTTTCAAATTTATTATATCTCCAGCATAAAAAAGATGACAGCCAAACTTAGATGAACATCTCTTATGGAGTCTAATTAATCTGAAACTTTTTTTTTTGCTGAACAACTCAGGTTTTTAAATTTTGAATTATATGGCATGTACTTAACATTTCTTAGAATTTGAGCCCATTGCTTTTTCTAGATAGGATATTCACATTCTCTTTTTTAGATTTCTTTTATTACACAAGTATATTTGTGTAATTTTTTGATAATACTAAATTGTTTTATCCTCTATAAAAGCTTTCTCCAAAGTGCTCAAAGCTTATTGTATCAAAGTACCAGAGGCTGTCATGGAATGAGGGTCAAACAATCTGTATATATTACTACTGGTTGATTTTGGTAAAGTATATTCCTTTTGTAGTTTTTCAGAGGTTTTAAAGATACCATTACTTATTAAGAAAGAGTAATTGTAACATTTTCAACCCAAGTTTCCCACAGGGAGTTGGGAATTTTAGGGATAGATTGGATAGAGACCCAAAATGACCTTAAAAGATGGATAGAGTTGTCAAGAAGATTCATACAGAACACTGAAGTGCGCTGTTGAGGCTGAGGTTCACACTTGGCCATTAAATGGCATTACACCAACAAGTACAGTTCAAGGTGTTGGTTGTCACCTTTAAAGCCCAGCATTTGCATAGGGCCAGGTTACTTGCAGGACTATCTGTCTCCAGTGGTTTCTGCCCATCCCACCAAATCTGGCAGGTGGGGCATTCTCTGGTTGCCTTCTGGGAAACAATGTCACCTAGTGGTACCCAGAAGGCATTCCTTTTCTATCCCAGAATTTGCCCTATGGAAGATCCTTCCCACTGAGATTTGGATAGCCCCAATCATGTTGGCCTTCCAGAAGGCCCTGAAGACCTGGCTTTTCCTTCAGGGTTTGTAACCAGAGGATTAGCTGAACCTAGTATGTGGGTTTTGTTTTATGCTGTCAGATGGTTTGTAGGAGCTTCAATTATTTTTTAATTGGTTGTTGCTTATAATTTTTATAATGTGATTTTATCTATGCTTTGTTAGCTGCCCGAAGTTATTTAGTTAAGATGAATGGCCATATAAAATTGCTAAATAAATAGTGGGTAGGGCTGTGAAAAACTTGAATAGGTTAGGTACATTAACTTAGGTACAGTTAATATGATACTTCCTTCTATCACACTACAAACAAAATTCATTGAAAACTTTTGGAGAGGCCCTAGGAGCCACACACAAGGATTTGGATTGATGCATACATCCCTGGGAACTCACATTGGGCAGCTTTGGTATGGAACTGGCTCTTGAGCTTCTCTGGTCCTTTTAAAAGTAAACCAACAGAAAAAGTATCTTGAATCGATCCAAGACTCAATTGGCAACCAATTTAACTGGTATAATATCAATATAAATAGGATCTTATCAAATAACACCATTCAGAAGATAAAGTGCTACATTTTAAACCACCTATAAGTTCTAGGTGGCCTTCAGGTATACAACCCTTTCTCATAGCATCTATTATACCATTTGAAACTGGAGGTGAATAAAACATGACTGACAGGGAGCAGGTCTTTTTCCTGCAAGCAGAGCAGTTTGTAAGTAAGAACCGAATATAAAAACTCCATTCCTGAAAACACTGCTGGTTGGCCATCCTTTATAATTAGAGCTTAAATTATAATCAGGATCACTGTTTATATGGTGATTTTTCCTTTAATCCTTAATCAAAGTACTTTGCACATAAAGTTTATCCACCTCTTCTGTATAGGTCCCCATATATGTCAACTTAAGATCACCTTTCATGCCTCAGATACCACTGATTTCTGTAAGTCTGTGTCAGTGATTCATTGGATTCCAGAAGTGGTGGTTTCCAACGGCAAACTAAAATCCTAGATTTAGAACACCTGAAAATATATAAACAACTTGAATGGCTTATATGGCCTGTGATAGAATGGGATGTATCTTGTGAAACAATGAAAAAAATATTCAGCAAAATTTATGGTAGTCTAGGCAGCCTGTCAGAGCATAAACACCTCATCTAGAAACTGTTCTTAGAAAGCACCAGTTCAAGCTATAGGAAGCAGAATAATTTCTTGAATCTTTTATGATGTCTGAACCCAAACATTCCCACAAACACCTCCCTGCACAAAGAGAACTGAGCAAGAGCAAGGATTCAAATATTGCCGCTTTCTCTGATCTGAAACTCCCATATACCCAGTGGGGAATAGTTCATTTGTAATACTCCTTCATCCATAGCCTGAAGTGGAATAATGCAACAAAAATGCATTGCAAGGTAAATTATTTGTTTTTAAAAACTCTCAGTATTCAGTTAGTTCTGCAATTGATAAATTATATATTTTAATGCTGTAACACAACTTTGATCATAAATATAATACCTTGATTATTGTACAGTGTTTGGATGCATTGTTGTTTAATTCTCTCTCTTTTTTTGCTGTTCCCACAAACTCTTAATTGTTAGCTTGTTATATTAATATTTGAATATTTAAAAAAAATCATTAAGTTTTTAAAAAGTTGTTCGCCATCTTGATTTTTTCCCCTTAAGGCAGAAAATGAATGAGTGTGTGTAATGAGTCAACTATGAAGCAGAGAAGGCAGAAATAATTTACTAAATACAAGCTGCCTACTAGCTGGGTTTGTCTAACAGGAGACAACTGCCATAATACCTGGGCAGAATAGATTTATTCTGCAGTGCACCTGTATGTAATGCCAGCTGCTTCAGGGACAGGAGATTGTATTATGAGTCAACTATGTAGTGTGGCAATGCAGTGCTACAGGTTTCATTTGGAAGAAGAGCTTTGGAATACATGGGAATACAAGTGTGTCACTGAAACAGGTACATAATGGTGGAAACAGGTGCTGTGTTGGTGCTGCACATCTGCAAAAACTATAAATATATTTTACCAAATATGACTACATAAATATTTAGTGTTGTTTTAATTTGTCAACCTTTTAATAAACTTTGAACCTTTTCCTCAAATATGTTCATTAATTGATTATGCTTTAAATTAAGTTCCATTTTCTTTTTGTCTCTCTCTCTTTCCCTGATGTCTTCTTTTATTAAATGTTCTGTCTTTGGTAAGACCCAAAATGCTCTTCAGCTCCATGAGAGAATTCAGTCTTCTAGTATGGATGCCAAGTTGGAATCACTGAAAAATTTAGCAAGTTACTCACGTGATGTAACATTTGCCCAAGAATTTATCAACCTAGATGGGATTTCACTGCTAACACAGATGGTTGAAAGTGGCACTGAGTAAGTATTCTGTTGTAACTCTACTACCATTTTTGTATATTTTTTCATAGTTACCTTAAGACAAGCTTTGCAAATTACTTTCACTAGACCATTTTTTTTAAAAAATGAAGCAATGCTTTCTGCACATTCTGTTGAACTGAGTGAGAGATGTATGTGAAATATCTTCAAGAGAATTTGCTATTTTGATGAAGTTTAAGAAAATCAATTACTTGTGTGTGTTGTCTGCTACATAAAACCCTGAGATTAATCCTAACAGAAATCCTAAACTTCCGTTAGTGAAGTCATGTAACTTTCTTGAATACAGATTGGATGCTGATGAAGCTGACCTTAGTAGCCATTGAAATCACTGGGACTTCATTCCACTGAAATGAATCAAAGTTGTGGCTACCTTAGTCTGAATACAGTCCGAAAGTTTTATTTTCATAACGTATAGAACTAAACATTGGATGATCCCAGAAGAGCCCATTCCCTGTGATACTGTCAGGTTTTCTGATAAGAAAGAGGCAATTTCCAAATAATGAGTTTTATGAAGCAATGTGATGGATAAGTCGTTGAAAATAATTCTGCTGGGATGCAGATAATTCCACATGATTTCTGCTTTGGGAATTGAATAATTCAGTCACATTGACATGGAATAAATTACCTGCCCTCTAGGATGGTCTGACTAGAAGTATGGAAGGTCAGAGAAGTAAATTATTTAGCAAGGCAGCAACCAATCTTCTCTGTGAGAAGCAACTTCTTAAATTCATTGTGACATACTAGTACTGTTTTATAAATCACATACAATTTGAGAATCTTAGATTATGCATTAGGAAATAGAAAATAACTATATGCAAGTTAAAATAACTCTATTTATTTAACACAGCAATGTATAGAGATTCTTTACATTGTGCAATTATGAAGTTTGCATATTCCAGGCAATTGCAATTAGTACAACCCACATTTTGAGGACAAAAAAGTGATAGCCTAGCCTTCTCCAATCAAGTCTCTAATAGGCTCTGTCCATCAGAAATTAATCACAGCTAAGACACAAGCCAAATTTGTCATCAACCCATAGCAACTCCTGTCACATAGTTAATTTGACTCCCATATTTAATAGGAAAATAAGCATCAGGACTGAGGGGGATGCTAACCTCCTATTCACTGTGACAGAATTGAACTGAAACCTTCCAAAACATAATTACTTCAGGAAAAAGATTTGTAAAAAGTCACTGCAGGTTATGCAGTGAACACTAAAGTTGCACACAAAAATAAGGACATTAGAGTTGTACACAAAAATGGTTAAAGCTGCATCATAGGCCTTTGTTAGTTAGGGATCCTTTTGTTTTCCTTCACTTTTAAGAGAAGTGAGAATTGCTCATGGAAAACTGAGGATTTAGCAATGACATCTGTCCTATTAGCAGTTATTTTTTTGCTTTTTTTTTTTTAAACAAGGACTTATTTTATATAATGTTTTTCCAATATTTGGGAACTTGTTGCAATTTTTTCATGGGAGCATTGGAATTGCAAACTTGAACCAACTTCCATGCTATCTCTAAATGAGGACAGACAGGGAAAGCTGTGGCACCTTCGACATGGCGTTGCTATGCTTTTACATTGGAAACTAAAGTGAGAAGATCATTCAATTTTAGATCAGAAGTACTATTAGGGCTGAAATAGGATTGTTCCCCTTTTATGGATTAGGTATTTTGAGGATATCTCCAAAGCTTGTACAGTATCTATTTCTAATGTATCATTGGAAACTGAGAGGAGGGTACTTAAGAATGTTTGGAAGGAGGGATACACTTTTAAAAAGAAATTAATGTAATCCTTGGAAATGTTCATGTTCACAGCTTTTGGAAGAGTGCAAAGCAACAAAAGCCTCTTTCAAGGTGGTGCCATCATCACAAGCGGCCTTGCTAACTGGATGAGGGGACTTGCGGTATAATACTTCTGGGGGAAAGTATAGGCTGGGCAAGGCTGGGGAACAGCAATTGTAACTTCTGAATTCATCTTAGAAGTTTTTTAGTGTATATTTTCTTGATTAAGATGCAATTAAAAATTACAGTGGAATAGCTGAGGCTTGGAGTGGAAGACTGAGATTTTATACCTCCTCTCCCAGAAGCTCTCTTTACCCCCTGACGCTGCCCCCGGAGAAGGAGTTTGATCCTTCCTGCTGCTGTCGCCTATCGCCTAGGGAGCACGGCCCTTGGCATCCTCCCCTAGCCCTAAGGTGTGAGAGAGCTGGGCTCTTGCAGCCTGTGTTGGCTTTCTAGCAATTACAAGGGGGAAAAAAAAAGATGATTCAGTAATGCTGCTTCCTGGCCCCTCTGCATAAAGGGGGGTGACTAGAAGTTTCAGCCTTCCTTCCCTTCTTGGGAGATAAACCAGTCTCTCCAAAGATAAATCCAAGTTTATTTTTTATTTTTAAAAAGGAGTGATCAACAACAACAACAATAAAACCCTTTAACTTTAAATCTTAAACTGTGTATATTGAACACTGTAGAAAACTAGTTTTTTTTAACCTCGCTGCTAAAAGCGGGGGGGGTGGGCATTTTTAATATTTTCTTTTTAATCTAACTAAGAAACAGTGTATATAAATATTCCTTATTAACAATAGTATACAAATAATATTCCTTATTAACAATAATAGTATACTGCCACACTGTTTTAATAAATTCAAAGTTTGTGTTTAGGCTTAAGATACAGCTTAACAGGGATGGCACTGTTTTCAATGAGCCCTATCAATTTCTCTTCCCTGTGGTTGCCATTGTTAAAAGATAAAACATAATTTGCTTTCCAGAGTCATACTGTTACCTACAATTAGCTCTGAATATAGCTTGCAAGAAATAGCTTGACAAACTAGTGTTCCCCTTCTAGATAGTTGGGGAATAGAATTCCCACATTTTTTTGTCATCCCTGCTCTAAGAAAAAGGCATTCAGACATTTGCCCATCATGCTTTAAACACAAGAAGAAATACAACATCTGCTCATGGTAAAAAAGAGTGTGTATATTCTGTAGCAGTTTTTGCAAATAAGCAGAGCACTTGGATGTGCTTATCTCACATAATATGGTATTATTAACAGAAGCTCTGTTATACAATAAAGATGTGTCCACAGGGTCCTCTTTGCCTACTTATTTTTAGCTTGGGATTACTATTCCCTGCTGTTCTAAATAGCTTCCCCCTTCCTTCCCATTAATGGAAGAAGGAGAATTCTAACTACTGGCTGGGGTCACATGGCACACTAACACATCATATGGTTGGTTTGTTTTGGCTGCTGTGTGACCCCAGCCAAATGTGGTTTCCCATAAACTCTGGATAAACCTATCATGATTTAACATGAAATGTGAACAGAGCCCAATGACTTGGACAGCGTTGACAGAATTCAATATTAGTTTTACAAGGACTGAGGGACGGGTTAGTTTTTGTCTTCTTTGTTGGACTACAAGTTATGAAAATTTGAATTTCATTCTTCCTGAAATTCCGGGATATGAGAGAGTCAGTCAAACTACAGTTAAGTCTAGACCACAGAAGACCAGGCAGCAAGAAATAGATGTTTATATTGCATGTTATACTAGGTAGAATTGATTTATTTTTATAGAATCCAGGCAACTTACATTGGGTGTGTGATGTGCCTTTCTTGTATACTGCTGTAAATCACAGTATTATTTTTCATAGATGGGTAAGCACTGCACATTTAATTTGGTGATCCATCTTCCCACCTCTGATTTCCAATGTTAAAAGAAGGTGTTGTCATGAAGAATAGTCAGATAATTTTTTCCCCCCATTCTAGCATTTTTCCTGCAGGCGCAGGGTCTGCTTTTTTCAGATTAACAGATCGGTTGTGACAGGTATTGATCACCCGAGCCTGACGTCATGGGCTGAGAGAGAGTGACCACCCAAAGTCACCCAGCTGGCTTTCATGCCTAAGGCAGGACTAGAACTCAGTCTCCTGGTTTCTAGCCTGGTGCCTTAACCACTAGACCAAACTGGCTCTCATTCCAGATAAATTTATTTTCTCAAAAATAACAGAAGCCTAAACAGCAAGGATGTGATTCCTATATTTTTGTGACACCCATTCTTTTTTTCTGTAGAAATTCCAGTTTCTGCCTGTTAGTGCATAGAATCTCTATCATTGCTTGACCTCTTACAGCCCTCTAGCAGCTTGGTGTTTTCCAATGCCCAAATATTCCATATTTGGGCAAATATTATCTTGCAATTAAAATGTATCATTGTCGTATTCTCTCCTCTCTTTTTTATAGATTGAATCCATCTAGAGTAGTTTCTCAACCTCAGCAATTTTAAGATGTGGGGACTTCAACTCTGGCTGGGGAATTCTAGAAGTTGAAGTCCATACATCTTAAAGTTGCTAAGGTTAAGAAACACTGATCTAGAGAAACTGAGTTTTCCTGGAGGCAGGGTTCAGATTCTGTATTACCAGTTGTACAATCATATTTTGTTCCCCTTAAGTCATCCTAACTGAATTTAAAAGCAAAGACCCTTCTTTTTATGTAATTAGAGGTTTCACCAGATATGCCACAAAGGAGTTGGTCTCGTCAGAGCTAGGCAAAATTTGTCTCAGCTGGAAATGACTCCTGGCAAATGTAAGATTGCACGTTCAGCAAGTATTAAGCCTTTGTGGTGTAGCGAATTCCAAAAGGAGCTGCTGTCCTTTTGATAGAAAGCCAGCTCTATAATCCAGAGCCCCTTCGGGACCAAACAGTGAGCATATTGTGGTAAACAAATGTCTAAGCAAGCATCCTTTCACTCTTATTCCTTACTTTTGTATTGCCATTCCTCTTCAGTTTTTTCCCCCTTTCTATTAAAATTAGCATGAACAAAAGTCTCTGGTTGGTTGTTTGCCGCCTGAATTATTGAGGTCGGTGCTTTTTTTTTTTCATATTGTTTGAATTATGTGGCCTTTTAAAGGCATTCAATTTTCTCACAAAACCACTATGAATTATTGGAATGTTTCTGGCCTGCTAATTTTAATGCATCAGCCATCATTCATAATCTAGAAAAGCAAATGTTGTGACTTTAATCTTCAGAGGCAACATGTAACGTTATGCCCAGTCTGCTTCATCTTACTACAGTTTTGTTGACAAGCAAGATTGATATGAATTCATGTTATTTCTCTGTTATCTTCAGGTGAAGGGCCAATATTCAGAATAGTGAATAGATTGCTTCTTCTTTCAATCTGATATAATGGGAAATGTTTTAAAAATCTGGAAGCATTTTCTAAAATAAACCTATGTTTTAGTTTGAATTATATACTGAAAGGTACCCAGGGTTTACTTGATTTCACTGTGTAAACCTGAACTTGAGGCCATATTTAAGTCAGTCTGAAGGAAATAGCATTTTTTTCAATGAAGACTATTTGAAGTACCAAACAACAGATAATAATAATTTCTCATATTGATGAAGAAAGGCATATAGATAGTTTTAATTCAGTCTTTTCTCAGTGAAACAATTGAGTTGTGTTTTAGCCACAATCCCACCAGATTCTTGGCGGTGTTACAGAAATACAAGCAGTGTAACATCAGCGGTCCTATACATAAAAACACAAACCAGAAAATCTGAAAAGCAATCCATAAAAACAGACATCAACTACCAAATGCCCTCTGGAAAGAGCTCCGTCTTCAACTGCTTCCAGTATGCAGCTAATTTACCTTTCAGTAGGAGGTCATTCCAAGAGCGCTGGTGCTGCTATAATAAGGGAACACCTCTATGTTCCCCTCCATCCCCCAGTACTTCTTGGAGTGGAGATCACTAGTTGCTTTTTCTAGCAAGATTGAATAGATCAGGCCAATTCTAATGGGTGAATGCAATCCTAAAAGTAACTTGGTGCTAAGCCTTGAAGGACATCATAGTTTAACAGTAACACTTTAAATTGTACCCAGTAACCTATAGGAAATCAATATAGGATCCATAGCACAAGTATAATGTGCTCCCACTGGTAGGTACCAGATACAGGCTGCTGCATTTTGCATCAGTTGAAGCTTCTGAGTAATCTTTAAGGGTAGCTCCATGTGGAATGCATTACAGTAGTCTAAGTCACTATAGCAAGGTCCCCTTGCCCTAGGGCAAAGGTGCTCCTGACTACAGTTTCCATCTCCTGTTCAAGCAGGAGCTGTGAGTCCAAGAGGACCTGAAGTCATGAACCTGCTCTTTCAGGGCTAATGCTTCCCCATCAAGTGATATCGCTGCAAGTGCCCAAGTACCCCGATGAGCAAACACTAACTCTGTCTCACAGGATTTTGTTTTAGCCTGTTTTCTCCCATCCAGCCCCTCATAGCTTCCAGGCACTGGGACAAGATCTCAATAGCCTTACCAGTACAGCCTGGAGAAGAGATGTAAAGCTGAGTTATTACCCCAGACCAATGCATGATCTCACCAGTAGTTTCATGTAAATATTAAACAGTAGAGGAGAGAGGATGGACTCCTCTGCCATCCCACAAGGGAGCAGCCACTGAGCTGATCTCTCCTCTCCTACTATCACTGACTGGAGCAGACCACTGAAAAATGACGCCCCCAGTCCCCAACCAGAGGGTTCAGAGGGATACCACAGTTAATGGTATCAAAAGCTGCTGAGCGGTCCAGAAAGGACCAGGGTGGGCAGACTACACCCATTTAGCTCCTGACAGAGGTCATCCACTAGTGCAACAAAAACTGTCTCCATGCATCCCCAGGCAGAACACTGTCTGACAAGAATCTAGGGCACTCTGTACTATGCCCCTTTCCACCATATCTTGGAGACCAAGCAATAGTTATCTAACATCTCTGGATCCAGGAAAGGGCTCTTAAATGCCACAGTTTTGTTCAAGGCTGCAAGCAATAGCCCTTCCTGTAAGGAGATCTGATTGAGGAAGTACTTTGCCAAGAGCTTTTTAATAGTTGTACTCTGGACAGTTATCCTTAATCTCAATGGAACACATCTAGGAGATACTAATAGTTGATTATTTGCATTTGGTTTCAGATGTTAATGTAGCTCAGATGTTAATATAGTTTATTCCTCAGTCTAGGCTATTTAAATTAAATTGTTGGACACTTGAGCTTACTGTGAATAAGTGAGAGTGTGTATGTATTGTGTGTGCATTTGGCATATAATGATCAGTGTAACTAATCCTTTGTAACATAGCAGTGCTCAAATTTATATCACGTTAGTGTTATGCTCATGAAGTAGTCATTGTGTTTAAGTGTTTATAAACTGAATTTATAATCTTATAAATTCTTTCATAATTCAGTTAAGATGTTGAACTTGTAACCCCAGTAAATCTGTCATGGTTTATAATGGTTACTACTTCAACATCTTGACTTTTTATATTATTTTATTTTATTTTATTTTATTTATTAAATTTATCCCCGCCCATCTCCCCCAATGGGGGACTCTGGGCGGCTCACAACTCATTAAAACAATAAATAAATATACAATTACATAAAATCTAAAACCTGTACTTAATGGAATTCTATTATGATTGATGGAGTATTAGGTAATTATTAGCATGATTTCTTGCTGTTCTTAGTGAATACCAAGAAATTTGAACATTTTAGTACTGGAAGACTGATATAACAATATCGGTTTCCAGGAGATTAGCTACTTTAATTTTTTACACCAGTTATAACAAAAATAATCTTGTGATTCCTTAAATGCTATCAATATATTGTGTAAATACATGGAAGGATGTATTGTGTGTGTGTGTGCACACACGCTCATATACACATATTCACACTATTATTGAGAGGGGAGATGGTAAAGTTAGGAATAATGAAAAGATTTTCATTAAAGGATGGAAAGGATAATTATAGATAGTGACCCCAAACAAGGCAGCAATTATAGATGACATAGGCATTCTTGCACTGAATAGCTAATGAACTCATAGAGGGTTAAATGAGAAATAATGGTAATCTTCTGGCACATTATATTCATGAACAAATAACTTCATATCTACTCATAAAATTAAACTTTTTGGTTCCTAGTTTTTTGCAGGGCAAATAATAGAAGAGACTATGTAGTTCCTATTTAAGGATATAGAAATTGCCAGCAATGTAGTAGATTTGATGCTATAGTTTAAACCAGAATATCAGTTACTTACAATTAAAGTGTTCGAATCTAATCAGAATGCATAATAATATAAATATCCCATGCATAAAAAACTTTGTTCAGTTGTAACCTTCTCTGTCTCCAGCAGTTAAACAACTTTTAACTTCTAATTGCCGTTCACAAACTTGCAGTGATAAACCTAAGAAGGATCCCTTTTCCTTGCACCTGCTTCTCAGGGATCAAAGTCCTCTCTCAAGTTTGATGCCGTAGAGTCTCTGAGCAACTTGATTGGAAAAGGTGCAGTCACCCTGGGTGAAGAACATAGTGACCAATCCTGCCAACACTGAACCAGTAAATCTACTGTAGGATTCTTAGGAAAAACAATTTGGTATCCTCTTTACTCATTTGCAAGGATGCCCTTAGAATCCAGATGAAAGGGGGGAAAACAGTCTGCAGAAGACCTGTTAATTACTGGCCCTTCCTGGCCTTTGAAAAGGTCACATTTAGAACTCTTTTCTAAGTTACATTAATGGAAGGGTTTGGACAATGTAGGTGCTTTGAGAGGACAAAATCTGAGGCCCAGTGGTTGCTGGGTTTTCTTCTCTTTGTTAAGGGAGTTCTGGAGTGAAGGGAAGGAGCAGAGGGTTCAAACACTCTTTCTTCCTAAAACAGATGAGTGGGGCTTGGTTGCTATTGGCACATTTTTGTGGCAACAGTTAAGGCAGAGAGGTAGAAAAGTATGTCTGATCTTAGCAGCTGCTGGTCCTTGTGCTCAAAGATGGTCAACCCATACTGGTAGTTTCTGAAAATCTATCTATCTGCTTAGCTACCTACCTACCTATCTACCAACCAACCAATCAATCACAAGGATCCTGGAGATCTTGCTTACAAAATTCCATGACAGCTCATCAGATTTTGGAAGTGCAACTTCATACCAAAACAAACGGACAAAGATGTGAAAGCCTTACAAAGGGTTTATAAATAAAAAAAAAAGGGGGGGGACCCCACCAGTTTGAAAATCCACTTATGTGCCACTGTTATGCCAAAAGCCCATTCACTGTAACTCTTTGCCATGGGAGGGGGAAGTATGGTTCAAAAAAATTGTCCATCCTGTTTTAATGGAATGATACGATTATCCGCTGTCCAGTTGTGGTGAAGTTTTGACATTGATAATTCTACTAAAAGTTTTTAACATTTTCAGTACTTAAAACATGTCAGTTTCATTTGTTTTTCCCCCGATAAATGTTTGTTGGGTTGATTTTCATGTTTCCTTCCAAGTGTTTTTAATCCATGTTGTTATATTTGAGTCAGTTTCAGTTGAATGATTGCCAAATATATTTTTTCTGGTTGTGTTTTATAAGACTTTATACAAACTCTTAGATAATTCAAACAGACAGTGTCTTTATGTTTCTCCTTACCTGAAAGTTTTTAAATTTTTGCAGACGATATCAGAAATTGCAGAAGATAATGAAGCCCTGGTAAGAACCTGATTGGCTCATGACCCTGCAAACTTCCTCTTCTTTGCATGATTAAATTTCAGGCCTTCCTGCTGATTTTATTTGTTTAAATAACTATGCATATTTTGATCCAGTAAATTTTCTGCTTCTCTTTTCTGTTCTTTTAATTCTATTTGCCACAGTTTTATTATGGTCCTTTCAGTTATTTTTTATTTTATTTACTTTTGCATTGCTTACAGAATGGATACCTTATATTCCTGTGGCTGCTATAGATTTTGCTGATGCTTTTCTTGTTATGTTGTTACTTTGAGTGATAACTATTTATTTTACATATCACAATGCATAGTTAATAGACGTAACCATAAATCATGATCTAATTTCTAGCATGTGACAGCTGGGGATTATGGAGGCTGAAGTCCAGCATGGTTGTAAAATATCAAAGTGGTGAAGACTATTTTCGTATCTGATGATATGAGTAGGATGCATGTATGTCATTTTTTTTTCTGAATGAGATATTTCGGCATTTAATAGGACACAAATTAAAAATTTACAATATATATTTCACTTCTAGCTGCCATTTGTACATTGTAAGAAATTCTTAAGCTGAGATGATATGGACATGTCTGATTAGTTTAAAATCATTGCAGAAGCTTAAAATTTCGTACACAGGGGAAAGGCATTAGTAGTTTTGTAATCTCATTTGCTTAGCAAAAGCTTGCTATTTCCCATTTTGTCTGTGGGGTTATAATGTTGCATCTTCAAATCTCACATCCAGTTTAGATTTTTTCAAATTGGGCCTATTATGTAAGAGTTCTAATTTATATTCCAAAAATGTTAGGCCATCTAAATGATGAATTGCAGGCTATCCCTGTATCTTTTTCTATGTAAACTTTATGCTTCTCTTTTGAGCGGCTGTCCACTACTCATGACTTCTAAAACATTTTGTTTTGTTCTAAAACAAAATCTTGTAAACCTTTGAAAAATGTGAAAACTGCATACTGATAACCAGACATAAGCTATTCATACATTAAGAAGTATAAACAACAAACAATACTGAATATCCACATTGAAATCTTCTTTTAAATGATTTTATTGAATGTTTTTAACAGTAATAAAAGCTAATTCAAAATGAAATTAAAGAGAGAAAAGGAAATAGAAAAAAAAGAAAAAGAAATATAAAGAAAAGATTAAAAGTGCAGAAAATAAAAGAAAAAAGACAAAAAGAAAAGATACTTAAAGAAGTGACTCCCAATCTTCTTTACAGATACAAGCAAGCATGATATCTCTCCTCCCCTTTTGAAATTGCGTTACATATATCATTTATTCCCATATTCCAACCCATTTCAATCCACAAATCCAAAAATCAGTGACAGTTCTGTCCAGTTTCAGCAAAAATTCCATGAAGGTTTTCCACTATTTTATAAAAGTACTTATTATCTTTATCCCTGATCAAACAAGTCAGATCAAATCTTTATTATAGTCATAAACCAGCATAGAAACAAGTCAATTTTATATTCTTTGCTCTTATATTCTGACATTGAAATATTGTTGTAGGACTTGGTCTCCATCCATATCTTCTTTTGCCCATCTTAAAAAGAAGTTTTTGAAGCTTCAACAGCCCTCTCCTTACTATTTTCACCAGGTTGTTCTGTAAATCCCCCTCTCTCTTGTAAAACCAATAGTAGTCCATTATGCACACCATTTTTCATCGCTTGATTTAATGTTTCTATCTCCCCTCTGTTTGTTATCTCTGTTTTGTTTCCCAAAATTTCTGTTTCGCTTTCCAAAATTTCCACCTTGATTTCACTTTGAATCACCAGAAGATTTTTTCTTTAAAAAACTGCTGTTCTGAAGATATCTTCACTTTGAAGTAAATGTAATTCAAATGTGCTTAAGTGAGGTTTTAGTGAACCTAGTGTCCTTATAGGCTCCACTGTGGCTGTGAGCTTCATGTGTTTCTTGCAGCTCTTGGTGCTTCAACTCAAGTCGACCTCAATCCTGCAGTCTCCTTGCGAGGAGCAGCCATCCAGAGCACAAGTGGGCAATCTCTTGGCCTCTCCTTTTCCAGAGAGGCTCCATTGGCCCGGGGCTGTCATCCGGCCATCAGTCTCCACTGCAATGTTGTCTTCGCTCCCTTGGAGATGTCTTAGTCCACCATTGTCCTCACCTGGAAGTCTCCAATATCTGCATTGAAATCTCATATACAGGTGGAAAATAATAATGTCAGAATCCCCACCCCTTTTATTTTTGCTGGTGGGCTCACAGGGTTTTTGAAAATGTACCATGGATGCTGTTGCAACATGGCAGTTGAGGAACAACCGTTTCCAAACAGTTGTCCTGGGAACATCACCAGTTAAAAAGTTTCAGGTTCCATGAACCCTCTATAGCTCTCCTCTTCAGGCAGGATTTTATCTACTAATCCTGCTATCTTTGTCCTTTTGACAATCATGTGGGCACATTTCCAAACCAAGTACTGCAGCTACCTGTCAAATAAGACTAATACCTGGGCAGCAAAGGTATGACAACTGGATTGCAGCAAAGAGTTACCATATTCTGTATCTAGGACCCATTTGGGCCCCAAAAGCATTCTTAGAGATAAAAATTATACCGAAGGCTAATCCTTTACAAATGCTAGCCCCCGCCCCTTTTTTTTACATTACAATTTTTGTTAATGTAAATGTCCAGTCATCAAATAACTTATTAGGAACCAAAGGATGTGATGATAGGCAAACTGGTACCCATAGATACTAAGTTGGGGACCCAAGGCCTAATGCTGTACTGATTTTGACATATATTGCAGCTGTATTGTGCTGTTGACTTTTGACTTTTGACATGATGGTTAGCTATACTTTCAAAGAAAAGGAATTTTTAAACCTCAGACTGAATTACCTATTAGAAAAACAAAACAAAAAAACCAATGGGCTGCATTTTTCCCAGTTCTGTTCCTTGTCCTTAAAATCTGTCCCTGTACAGTGTACTATAGATTACAGTGATTCTTGATGTCACTGTGTTCTGCATTTTTCTGCTCTTAATAGCAGCAATGAATCATGTGGGATGAAAAAAATATCTACTATATAATGATACCATGTTTTAAACAGTAAATTGCCCTACGCTTTACAACAGAGTAAAGGACATGGAATGTAATTGCCATTTTTGGCAGCACTCTACTTTTATAGGTAGTATTTTCAGTGCTGAGACAAACTTTTAAAAGCTTTGCATATGGTTTGTGGTTATTTTTCTTTATGTGAGGCTTCTTTTTAATGGCATAGTATAGCAAAGAATGACACCGTGATAACATATGGAATGGCACTTTGCACAAGGAAAAAAGTATTGGCAACATTTAAAAATGGATTTTGTAACTGTCATGTTCCTGTCCAAATTCAATGTATAACTAACTGATTTTTGAGTATTGAAACTGCAATCATAATAACTTAGATTCCAGGTGAAAATAAGGACTACATAAAAGTGTTTTATTCTCAGGAAGCATAATCTGCTAAAATCTTTGCTGATGAATGAGTCTGTAAAAGATTCTGGTACTTGATGTTTCTCAGTTAATGTAAAAGGTGATAATATCCATGAAGTTTTCATTTTCTTGCAACAATGGTATATACTTTGAGGACTTGTTAGCATAATTCTTTCCCATGTTGCTGACTGTGTGTCTCACTGCCACAGTGTTCATGAGTCATCATAGGCAAAACGGTGTCCTTCTGTTCTTAAAATGCAGTGCAACTTTACTTTTCCTTTGTTGTCTGTGCTTCCAATACAGTTTTAATTCACTTAAACATATTTTTTTTAATTAAGAAATATATGTCCAGATGAGTACCGCAGATTTCAGAAATTAATATGAATTCTATAAATTTTTGTTCTGGGTTAAAAAAAAAAAGAACTATGCTCTGGCATTTCTTACATAAAGTTTTTATGTGGATAGACATCTGTGAATGCTTCTATAAATAACTATTTGAGGACACACTAGAATCATTTAATTGATCTTAGAACTTGTTATATGAAAAAAATGCATTGCAGAATCATTGTTCCTGAAAGTTATAATTAGAACACTGCCCAAAATATATCAAATCAAGGTGAAAGGCAATTACAATTATGACTAATAGGAATTGTTATTTATAATCAGTGTCTGTGCATTAGTGGGTTTTGCAGTAGGGGAAGCCTCTGACAGTGATTGGCTGAGCAACCCTAACCTCAGAGAAGAGTACAGGGTGCAGAAGGACTTCTAGAAGCCTTTAACTCAACCTACTCTGACCTTTGAGAAGAGAGAAGGACTCAGCCCAGGAAAGCTGAGTACCATTACTGAGAAGACAGTAGACCAATAGAAGCAAGAAGTTTTAAACAAAACCGATATCATGTTATAACAGTTGGTTTGGTGAAGAAAACTTAGGAGACAGAATGCCTAAGAAAAATGGGTATTCATGATCAGGTGGTACATGAAATAAAGAAAGTTCAAATATTTGTTTGAAGTCTAGTCCAGTCTTCCTCAGGAATCCCATCAGCCTAACCAATAGGGGATTTGAAAACAATCAGTGGTAAAACAAGAGATAGAGTCATTGAAAAAAAGGATGCTGAATGAAAATGCATTAAATCCAAACATAAGCCACTAGTATGAAAGAAATAAGTTGATTTGGTCATATAGAGAAAAAAATAGGATAGACTTGCAATACAATTGCATGAAGAAAGAGTGGCTGACTCAAATTTGGTTTTATTGAAACTTTTGCATGAAACTCTATCTGTGTAACACTATAGGAAGATGAGACATAGAACCAAAAGAATTGAACAAGAAGAAGAACCAGTGGATCCAGCAAAAATGGCTGGCATCAGGCTAAGCCAACACATCAAATACAAAGCTAGAAGGAGCATCAAAGAGTTGTGTCTATTGGATCTGTGGCAGGATTATTGGAAGATGGTGTAGCTAATAGAAGAGAATATGTGTAGCTCAAGGTTGAACTGTGGAGTCCTTGGGGTTCTCTGAGCTTGGTTGTTTCCTTGCAAATGTTTTATTACGAAACGTT